ATTAAAAATTAAATCTTTTGATGAGGAAAAAGAATTTGTTTCTAAATGACAAAAAAAAGCAGATTGAGATATTACAAAGAAAAAAAAATATACTAAAATAATTATTTATTCTATTTTACTCATTTGAATTTTATTTACCGAAGAACGTTCATTTCGATTTTGTGCTGATATATTTTCATCTGTTGATGTTTCATAAGATGTTTGATTAACTTGATCAAATCTTGCACTTGTACTTGTATTTGGTTGAGAATTTCAACTTGTTGCTGTACGTTTTTGAACTAAAAGTGGTTCACCTATTAATTAAAAATAATTTAATATCGATTTGATATATAAAAATAAAATTTATTTATTCATACCACTTAAATTATTTTCATCAGATCTAATTCTACTTCCTTTCATAATTTGACCTGGTTGTACAACAATTTGATAATCATTTTCTGATTTCCATAAAAATGAATAACATGTAAATATTGAATTATCAGCTGTAACATAAACTTCATATTCAAAACTAAAACAAAATAAAAATAAAAATAAATAAGCCAACAAAATTAATTTCAAACAAACAAAAACAACTAACTTATTTCTTTCTTCACCAATTATTTTAACAATAAGTTTTTCCGAATATGAATGATTACTACTAAAAAATATTTTCATCGTAAAATCTTGTTGTTTATCAACGGTAACTATTACTGGTTCAACAAATGATGCATGAAATTCATATGAAACATCTGTTGGTTTAACATGAGATAAGATAATTAATTTTGTATTTCTAATTTAAAAGAGAAAAAAAACCAATATCAATAATGAATTTTGTTTATTATTTAAACTTATTTTTCAAAACCTTTTGTTCGTACACGAACTGTTCCAACACTTTCAATATCAAGTGGTACTGGTGGCAGAATTAAACGTCTTGGTTCAAATATTAAACTTAGCATAATTAATTCTCCAGTTAATTCAATATATGTATAAGGTATTTGTTGATTATGACTTATATAAAATGGTATACGTGTTTTATATATTCCAGATTTTTTTGGTATAAAATTAATTTTAAATGAAAAAATTTCTTTGGGTTCAATTTCATCTTCTGGTCCAATACTTGTTGATGGACTTATAAATGGTACAAGTGATGAATGTAATACACGAAATATATCATTATCTAATGTTATATTATCACGTAAATCAAATTGCTAATGAATTTTTTTTT